CTGGGATTACAGGCATGCGCCACCATGCCCAGCTAATTTTTTGTATTTTTAGTAGAGACGGGGTTTCACCATGTTGACCAGGATGGTCTCGATCTCTTGACCTCGTGATCCACCCGCCTCGGCCTCCCACAGTGCTGGGATTACAGGCTTGAGCCACCGCGCCCGGCCGATAAGAATTTATAATTAACACATCCATCATATGCAAATGGCCACTTCTTAAAGGGGCTCATGGTATGATTTTTGCCTTCAGAACTATGGGAACTGAAGGGACTACCTGTAGCTACCCCCAGCACAGTGCAGTGAGATAGTTAAATCACCATTTCCTGACCAAAACCTAGCCTATGCGCTGAAATGACTTGCCCAGTGGCAGTGTTCATGTTCAAGGCAAAATATGGACCTAGATCAGCTCAACCCTTGGTCTCCTGAGCCTCAAGAATTGTGCTTTTTCAACTTCTCTCTATTGCACCAATAACTTGCCTTTCTCACAAAGTTTGTTTTTTGTGGGGTTTTTTGGATTGTTTTTTTATAACATGGACAGTGAATGGGTAGAGACAAATATGTTTTTGCTAAAAACCACAAAAGCTGTTTTACTCTCTTAGTGCTAGACAACATAGCAATGAATGGCACTTTTCAGGTCACGCAAGCCCCCAGCACCAGAGAGACCCTCCCAGACCAGACCAGAGAAAGAGAATGGAAGCCACCAAGCTGCCGCCAGAGGAGAGCAGTGCTGAACTAACTCCTGTGGCTTTGTGGCAAGGGCGATTGTGTTTCCGTGGACAGTTAAATATGGAATCTGGGAGGAGCTTCATATTTATGTAGTGCTGTGGGAACGAATCCAAAAGAAAAGAGTGAGAGTGTGACTAAGGGCTTTCAGGGTCAAAATAAACACCAGCAAGCAGGAATTACCAAACAGTTGAACATCGCCAACCTCAAGCACTGGTCATGTAGACACCATGGTGACTTGAATACATTTGCATTCCAGCAGCTAATGTAGAGATTGCTTTAAGAGAATACAGTGAGCATCTTTAAAAAAAAATCTCAAATTGTGAATTCACTTGGTTAGCAAATGTGTGTTGAGTACCAACCTGTGAAAAGGGAAGAGAGGATACAGGGGCAGGCAAATCAGATTCCAAGTCCAACAAGCCTATTTTACATTCATCGATTGTATTTGAAGAGGTCTGACTGAGCCGTGGCAGCAGAGCGAAAGCTCCACCTCACCTCCCCACTGGTTTTGTTACAGCTGTAAAGGTGCCTCCCACTACGGCCTGACCAAAGACAGGAAGAGGCGCTCACAAGATGGCTGTCCAGATGGCTGTGCGAGCCTCACAGCCACAGCTCCCTTCCCGGAGGTTTCTCCAGCTACCACCATCCCCTTAATGACAGACGAGCCTGGCCTAGACAACCCTGCCTACGTGTCCACGGCAGAGGACAGTCAGCCAGCAATCAGCCCAGTGGACTCTGGCCGGAGCAACCGAACTAGGGGTGAGTCAAATGGGTGGTTGTCCAGGAATGGGCTCCTTGGCTTGGGATTGCCCTCTGTGGAATACTTACTGTGGAAAGTTTTAGAAACGTTTTTTTAAGGGGAAATCATTCTGGTAGTTTTGGCAGGACGTCAATGTCCAATTCTCCAAAGTGAAATGAACCACAAGTACCTCCGATCATTAAAACTGTGTGTAATCTGACTTGGTGAAAGGGGCTGAAACGAGACCTAATGATTCATCGCTCCTGCAGTGTCAGTAATTTCTCAGCCATACTGCTGAAGAAAAGTGCTATTGTATTCAGTTCAGCCCAGAAACAAAAAAGAAAAGCAGGATTTTAAACAAGTCCTACATATTTCACTGTAGAAAACTTAGAAAACACAGGTAAGCAAATTCTACAATCCTACCACCTAGAGGTAGTCACTGTTAATGTTTTATTGTATATATCTTATCAGATATGTATATAAATGATGATTTCTATTAAATCATAACTACTGTTCCTCTCTTTTCCTCAGCACGGCCTTTTGAAAGATCCTCTATTAGAAGCAGATCTTTTAAAAAAATAAATCGAGCTTTGAGTGTTCTTCGAAGGACAAAGAGCGGGAGTACAGTTGCCAACCACGCTGACCAGGGCAGGGAAAATTCTGAAAACACCACTGCCCCTGAAGGTAAATGAACTCCCTACAAGGCTGGAAGGCTATGGGCTGGGCTTCCAGGGTGACTTTAGGGATGATGCAATCTGATCACTACCCACCTTCTGTGACCCCTCTCTTCCCAAGTGTATACAATATTTTTTACTTTGATTAGCCGCTTCTCACATAAGCAGCTTAAGACAGAAATTATTATCATCTTTTTACATAGATGGAAGAAAAAAGTATTAAAACCCTTACCTTCAGGTGCTAGTGTTATGCATATGAAGAAGAATAATTATAGCTAATGAGTGAAAAGCATTTAAAACAATGACTGGTATGTAATAAATGCAATATATATTTGCTCTTCTTACTCTTTCAACTACATGTGAGGTGTGGTGCTGAGTGTTTTATATGCATTTCCTCATTTAAGCTTCACAACAACCCTATGGAGCTAGCTACTGTTCTTTCCTGTCTGTCTTTTTGTTTTTTGCTTTTTGTTTTTTTTGAGACAGAGTTTTGCTTTTGTCACCCAGGCTGGAGTATAATGGCTCAATTTCTGCTCACTGCAACCTCTGCCTCCTGGGTTCAGGCGATTTTCCTCCCTCAGCCTCCCGAATAGGTGGAATTACAGACACCCGCCACCACGCCCAGCTATTCTTTGTATTTTTTTTTTCTTTTTTTTTCATGACTACTTTCGTGCCATCTTTGTATTTTTTAGTAGAGATGGTTTTGCCATGTTGGCCAGGCTGGTCTCAAACTCCTGACCTCATCAGGTGATCCACCCACCTCGGCTTCTCAAAGTGCTGGGATTACAAGCATGAGCCACTGTGCCCAATGCTACTATTTTACGCTGTTTTACAGATGAGGAAACTTGAGGCACAGAGAGGTTATTTAGTTTGTTCCAAATTATCTCGCTAAACTTTAAATCTAGGTAACATGGCTGTAGAATTCATGCAAAGGAAGCTACTGAGTCTTAGATCCCATATGTTTTTCCCAATATAAATGGAGCTGAGGAAATACAATCCTACTGTCCTGTCTTTTCATTTTATGTTAGAACTTTACAGCAGTAGTAATAGCTTTAAAAAAAAAAAAAAAATTGAGCTCTTTCTGTATGCACATAGTGTTTTAAGCCATTTAGATGTGACAATAATGTTAAGGGGATAGGACTATCATTCCCATTTTACAGATGAGAAAACGGATACCCAGAGGGGTTAGGTAACCAGCCCAGGAACCCAGGTAGAAAATGGCAGAACCAGCATTTTAACTCAGGTCCTCTGGTTCCAGAGACTATTTTAGCCCCTGGGTTATACTGCCCTCTACTTTTGGGAGTTGGGAGGCAGAGCCCAAACCACTGTATGTATTATGCCTTCAAAATTCATGAGCGGCCTTATAAGACCTTTTCTTGTACACTGATTCATGATCGCCTCTCACCCTGTACGTACACGCTGCTGCCACTCTAACAGCTCAGCTTATTACAGGCCTGTAAATGCTGTATGTCCTTCTCTCACCTCCCTTCTATTGTTCAGCCTGCACTGCCACTCTCCTTTCAGCTGACGTTCACATTCCTGCTTCCAGGCTTAGTGCAGCCTTTGCCTCCTCCTAGAAACCACACTGAATCCCTCAGACCCCTTCTTATGTGTTTTTAAAGTACCTGTATCAGCGATGATCACATTTCATGTAACTATACTTCAAAGTGCAGGGATTCCTTTTCAGAGTCTTTGTTCTTAAGGCCTAGCACAGTGTCAGGCACGTAAGTGTCCACTAAATGTCTGTGCCATGGCTAAATGAAAGGATGATAACTTAGTTTCCACCAGTCTCTTCCTCTTATTAAAGACTCCTCAATTCCATGTAAAGACTCCATGTAAAGTTCTCTACTACTTGGGCTGGGAGTGGTGGCTCACTCCTATAATCCCAGCACTTTGGGAGGCTGAGGCGGGAGTATCAGCTGAGGTCAGGTGTTCGAGACTAGCCTGGCCAACATGGTGAAACTCCATCTCTACTAAAAGTACAAAAATTAGCCAGAGCATGGTGGCAGGCACCTGTAATCCCATGTACTCGGGAGGCTGAGGCAGGAGAATCACTTGAACCTGGGAGGCAGAGGGTGTAGTCAGCTGAGATTGTGCCACTGCACTCCAGCCTGGGTGACAGAGGGAGAGTCCATCTCAAAAGGAAAAAAAAAAGTTATCTTGAATAAGATTTATTTTCGTATTTATTACAGAAACCTTTATAAAAGAGATTATTATATTGAAGGCACTGGCCTATGTGCTGTCATTTTATATAAAGAATATAAAATGTAGTTTCTGGCATCAAGGGATTTATTCAAGACTAAAAGAAAATAAAAGCATACCTCGTTTTTATTTTTACAAATTGAAAGTTCGTGGTAACCGTGTATTGAATGAGTTTATTGGCATCATTTTTCCAAGAGCGTGTGCTCACTTCATGTCTCTATGTCACATTTTGGTCATTCTTGCCGCATCTCAAACTTTGTTCATTATTTTTATATCTGTTATGGTGATATGTGATCAGTGAGCTTTGGCGTGACTATTGTAATTGTTTTAGCGTGCCACGAACCACGTTCTTATAGATCAGTGAGCATTGTGTGTTCTGATTGCTTCACTGGCCATTTTCCCATCTTTCTCTTCTCGGGCCTCCCTGAGACACAACAGTATTGAAATTAAGCCAATTAGTAACCCTACAATAGCCTCTGAGTAGCCACGTGAAAGGAAGAGCCACATGTCTCTCACTATAATCAAAGCTAGAAATGAACCTTAGTAAGGAAGGCATGCTGAAAGCTAAAATAAGCTAGGCCTCTTGTGTCAAACAGCCAAGTTATTAATGCAAAGGAAAAGTTCTTGAAGGAAATTAAAAGTGCTACTTCCAGTGAACACATTACTCACAAAGCGAACAGCCTTCTTGCTGATAGGGAGAAAGTTTGAATGAACTGGATAGAAGAACAAACCAGCCACAGCATTCCCTTAAGCCAAAGCCTCATCCAGAGGAAGGCCCTAACTCCCTTGAATTCTGTGAAGGGGGAGAGTGGTAAGGAAGCTGCAGGAGAAAAGTTGGAAGCTAGCAGAGGTTGGTTCATGAGGCTTAAGGAAACAAGCCATCCCATAATATAAAAGTGCAAGGCGAAGCAGCAAATGCTGATTGCAGAAACTGCAGCAAGTTATCCAGAATATCTTGTTAAGATCATTGAAGGTGGCACCACTAAACAGGTTTTTTTTTTTAGAAAAGATTTTTTTTTTGAGACGGAGCCTCACTCACTCTGTTGCCCAGGTTGGAGTGCACTGGTGCTATCTCAGCTCACTGTAACCTCTGCCTCCTGGGTTCAAGTGATTCTCCTGCCTCAGCTTGCCAGGAAGCTGGGATTACCATTACGTACCATTACGTAGCTGCACGTACCATTACGCCCGGCTAATTTTTTTGTATCTTTAGTAGAGACGGGGTTTCGCCATGTTGGTCAGGCTGGTCTTGGACTCCTGACCTCAGGTGATCCACCCACCTTGGCCTCCCCAAATGCTAAGATTACAGGTGTGAGTCACCACACCTGGCCAACAGATTTTCAGTGTAGATGATGCAGCCTTATATTGGGAGAAGATGTCACCTGGGACTTGCTTAACTAGAGAGAAGTCAATGCCTGGCTTCAAAGCTTCCAAGGACAGGCTGGCTCTCTTGTTCGGTGCTAATGCAGCTGGTGACTTTAAAGTGGAGTCCAGTGCCCATTTATCATTTCAAAAATCCTAGGGCCCTTAAGAGTTATGCTAAATCTACTCTGCCTGTGCTCTATCCATGGAACAACAAAGCCTGGATGGCAGCACATCTGTTTACAGCATGGTTTACTGAATATTTTAAGCCCACTGTTGAAGCCTACTGCTCAGAAAGAAAGATTCCTTTCAAAATATTACTACTCATTGATAATGCACCCTAGTTACCCAAGTACTTCAATGCAGACGTACAAGAGTAATGTTGTTTTCATGTCTGCTAACACAATACCCATTCTTCAGACCATAGATCAAAGAGTAATTTCTACTTTTAAGTCTCATTATTTAAGAAATTGATTTTGAAAGGCAATAGCCGCCATGGATAGGTTCCTCTGATGGATCTGAGCAAGAAAAATTGAAAACCTGCTGGAAAGAATTCACCCTTCTAGATGCCACTGATAATATTTGTGATCCATGGGAGGAGGTTAAAAATATCAACCATAACAGGAGTTTGGAGGAAGTTGATTCTAATTCTCATAGATGACTTTGAGGGGTTCAGAACTTCAGTGGAGAAAAGTAACTATACATGTGGTGGAAAAATCAAGAGAACTAGAATTAGAAGTGGAGCTTAAAGATATTACCAAATTGTTGCAATCTCATAATAAAACTTGAACAAATGTAGAATTGCCTCTTATGGATGAGCAAAGAAAGTGTTTTCTTGAGATGGAAACTACTCCTGCTGAAGATTCCATGAACATTGTTGAAACAACAAAGGATTGAGAACATTACGTAAACATAGTTGATAAAACAGCAGCAAGGTTAGGAGAGGATTGACTCCAATTTTGAAAGAAGTTTTACTGAAGGGTAAATGTTATCATTAGCACTGCATTCTACAGAGAATCTGCATAAAAATTTTTCATGAGTTTGTCAGTTGATGTGGCAAACTTCCTTTTTTTCTTATTTTTAAAAATTGCCACTCTCAACCTTCAGCAACCACCACTGTGATCAGTCAGCAGCCATCAACATCAGGGCAAGACCCTCTACCAGCAAAAAGACTATGACTAGCTGAAAGGCTCAGATGATCACTAAACAGCATGTTTTAGAAATAAAGTATTTTTAAATCAAGGTATCTACATTTTTAAAAACCTGCTGTTGTACACTTACTGGACTACAGTACAGTCTAAACATAACTCTTATTAGCACAGAGAAACCTAAAAATTGATGTGACTCACTTTCTTATAGCAGTCTGGAACCAAACCCACAATATCTCTGAGGTATGCCTATACTATGAAGAATGAAGTGTACATTAATGACCACAGCGGCCATAGGGGACAGTGTAATCCATGTTTAAGAAGTGGCTTATGACTTGGATGGATGTTGGGATGCTGACTGTGTGTTGGAAAATGCATTCAAGTAGCTTAGCTCAATGCCAGCATATGATAAACTCTCAGTTAATAATTATTATGTTCTTTAGTCCTTGAGTGAGGACATAATATAGAACACATCATTTTCTTTCCAGACCAAGGAGATGATGTGAAGGTCAGATCACAGTGTGTCCTAATTATTATTTAGGAGTCTGTACTTGATTTGGGGGCAGTGAACAAACCTGGGAGCTCTTGTGTAGAGTTATTGTGTAGAGGATTGGAGCCATGTTTCCAGAAGACAAAGATAGCAGCCATGTTCCATGTGTAGTGGGGCTGGAATGGGAGAGACTGGCTTTCCTCAGACACACCATGAAACCGTAACTCCAGAATGGAGTGAGGTGTTAAGACTTAGCTAGGCTCGTATCAACGTCTTCACAGAAATTATAAGGCAACAAAGCTTTCAAAAATGGCCAGGGGGCCTCATTGCTCCAGCAACCTACAGTTATCCATCTTTTTAATGTTGGTAAAGGGACTGGGCCACTGTTTATCAACTGTGTGACCCTGGCTGGGTTGCTTAACTGCACCCTAAGCTTCAGTGTTTCTTCATCTAAAGAAACAGAGCTGACTCTGGGCATGGTGGCTCGCATCTGTAATCCTAGCACTTGGAGGCCAAGGTGAGAGGATCCCTTGAGCCCAGGAGTTTGAGACCAGCCTGGGCAACATAGTGAGACTGTCTCTACAAAAAAAAGTGAAATCAGTGGGACATGGTAGAACACACCTGTACTCCCAGCTTCTTGGGCTGAGGTGGGAAGATCGCCTGAGGCTATGAGGGCAAGGCTGCACTGAGCCAAGATCGTACCGCTACTCACCAGCCCAGGTGACAGAGTGAGACCCTGTCTCTCAAAAAGACAAAAAAAACATATTATTACAATCTATATCATAGGGTTATTATGAAGGCTAAACAAAAAATGCATTCAAATACCTTAGCTCAATGTCAGCCTGTAATAAACTGTCAGCTAATAAGATGATTATATCATTTAGTCCCTGAGTAAGGACATAATATTGAGCAACTTCTTTTCTTTCCAGAAAGAAAACAACATAACTTTGCAGTTTAAAAATTTTTATCTCTTTAAGGTCACTAGGATCTCATTGGCTGTTGCTCTAACATCCTTTACAAGTGTGAATGGATATGTCTTTTCAAGCTGTCAAATCAAACATTCCCTAGAGGTTTAGGTTTGGTAGTGTGGTATTGTATATCTGTTGGAAAAGAAGGTAACAAGGGAGGGGGAATGAGGGAGGGAAAATTGGCTTTTGTGATTATTTCCAAATCTTTCCTTGCTCAGAATGAATTTTTTTTCTATTCCGTTGTTGTACCAGACATGTTCTAGCAAGTGCCTGCAGCGTAGCCTACTTAATATGACCAAAGTAGTTTAAACATTCATTGAAGTCAGTCAGCCAAGTACTGTGAGTACCAGGAACTTACTGATGAAGCCAGCGACCCCTGCATTATGCAGTCACTTCAGTTCCATCGGTATAGAGATGAAAGACACACATTTGCAACATCTCGAGTCTCCTCTGGCCACTGAGCTATTTTGTTAACCCTGCTCTCAAATACTTAGAAATAACTTTAATTCTGTATTGTTCTTAGAGAGTTGAGTACTCACTAATTCATTAGGGAAAATGGACTAAGGTAACGGGTTTTGAAAATGCTCACAAGGAGCAGACGATCCAGAAGCAGGCCTGCCGTATGAGATCTTTCCAGATGCCATAACGAAAGGAGACTCTTACAGCAAAGCAGCTGTCAGCACCTACAGAAGACAGAAGCATCTCAGCCCTTCACATTCAAACTTTAGCCTCTAGCCACTAGGAGGAGCCACTTTTTCCACCAAGCTGGGCGTGGCTTGTTCCCATCACTTGTTGGTGTCCCCTCTGAACACTTCTATTCAAACTGAAGTGAAGAAAAACAGTGCCAGCCAGTTCTGCTGGCTCATAGGTCCATAGAGAGAACCCCTTGTGGGCTCTGGCCTGGCTGTGAACTCCTGGCTCCACGGAAACCTGGCAGAGAGTCCTGGTCACAGGAGCTCTGGGCTCTGAGCTGGCTCTCAGGGCCACCTAACTTTGGGATGTCCAGCCAGTTACTTGTCTCCCCTTCTCTCAGCCTTAAACTTCCTCACTTGTAGAGTTTGACTCTCACTGTCAAGCAGCAGGACAATTAGAGCAGCTGTTTTCTGTGTGGTCATAATGGGATGAGGGATGAGAAGAGAGCTAGGAGAGATATCATGGGGAAAGCAGATTCATCGATTAAAAAATACAGTTTGGGATTACACACGGTGGCTCACGCCTGTAATCCCAGCACTTTAGAAGGCCGAGGTGGGTGAATCACGAGGTCAAGAGATGGAGACCATCCTGGCCAACATGGTGAAATCCCATCTCTACTAAAAAATACAAAAATTATCTGGGCATGGTGGCACATGCCTATAATCCCAGCTACTCGAGAGGCTGAGGCAGTAGAATGGCTTGAACCCAGGAGGCAGAGGTTGCAGTGAGCCAGGATCGCACCACTGCACTCCAGTGTGGCAACAGAGCAAGCCTCCATCTCAAAA